TGACCATGGCCCCTCCCTGCTGCCTCGGTCCTTGATAATGGTTTCCTTTCAACATAGGTACATCCTTACCTAGCTACTTACTTACAGGAGAATGACTCTCTTTTTTCTTTCTTTCTTTTTCTTTTTCTTCTTCTTTTTTTTTTTTTTTTTTAATAAGGCTTTTGCCAAGAAGTATGTGCCTTTGCCAGAGAGAAACGGAGAGAGGGAAAGTGAGAACTCACCACCCAGGAAGATGGCCATGTAGCAATCCCTTCTCCATTCTCCTCCTGGGATTTTGGGCATGCACATGTATGCTCCTGGCATGATTTTCAAGCTGGCAGGTCTGGGACTTGAACCATGGTCAGCCGTGTGAGAATTCAGCATCTCAACTACCATCCCATCTGCTGGCCCCAAATGACTTTTTTTTCTTAAGACACTCTGAGTGAGTCTCAGTCCCTGTTCCCATAACTGGAACTTAAAGAGAACTAGTATTGATGACCTATGCCCAGGTTAATGAGAAAGCTACACTAGTGGGAACCAGCAGTTAGCGTAATGGCTATGTCGCTGGACTCCCATGTAGTCGACCACAGTTCGCGTCCGGACCCGGTGGCTTAAAACTCACGCCGGGCGCGTGTGCATGTGTGTCCAAGATCCCAAGAGGAGAATGGAGAAGGGATTGCGGCATGACCATCCCCCCTGGGGGGTGATTTCTCGCTTTCTGTCTCTATGTCTCTCTCTGTCTGTCTGGTGAGCGCACGCACCATATAGCAAAAACCTCTCCAAAAAAAAAAAAAAAAAAGAATCTCTAAGGTTATCATCTCTGAATCCATGAAGACCTCCACGTCCCTCTCTAAAATTCAGCTTTAATTCTTTACTTTCTTCCCATTTCTGTTAATAAAAAAAAAAAAAAAAAATAACACTAGTATAATAGTTACACTAGTATAATCTGTTCTTAAAAACTACACAGCGGGACCAGCAGATGGCATAATGGTTATGTTGCTGGACTCCCATGTAGTTAACTGTGGTTTGAGTCTCAGACCTGGTGGCTTAAAACTCAAGCTGGGCACGTGTGCGTGCATGCCCAAAATGGTATGTTGCTGGACTCCCATGTAGTTAACTGTGGTTTGAGTCTCGGACCTGGTAGCTTAAAGCTCACGCTGGACACGTGTACATGCATGCTCAAAATCCTAAGAAGAGAAGAGGAGAAGAGACTGCAGTGTGCCCATCCCCTCTTGAGGGTGATTTCTCCCTTTCTGTCTCTCAGTCTCTTCAGCGAGAGCACGTACCCTATAGCAAAAATATCTCTCAAATTAAAAAATAAAATAAAATAAACTACATACAGCACATGAGACTGTTCAAAGGTCCTGAAATCTCCTGAGACAAGTAAAAAATGATACCACGT